GCGTTGTAAATTTGCAGACATCCCGCTGTGCCACTGGGGGGGGGGAGGCACTACTTTGCAATAAGCAATGTTAGAAATCATTTGTTCGCTGTGCCGTTGACAATAAGAATACGTCTGAGCAAGAGGTTTCTGGTCTGATAACTTAGTTAATTAAGTTTCAGCAAAAACAAACGTTCGAATCCTGTTCTAGCATGCATGACAATTACTATAGTATTTATATTTTATATACTTACAGTAGAAAGTGGTTCAAAGTTTGAAAAGCTATAACCCATGGAATCCAGAGATGTTTCGTTAGAAAGAATTGTCTTGTCTCCACTTCCAAGAGCGAGATTCAATCCACTGATCCATATACAAACAAGATACCAAAGAATCAAATTAATACGTGTCTCATTGGCTATACTGAGTTGAAATCGCATATCGCCTGTTTCAAATTGGCCGTAACGTGTGCTCAACGTCATGTAATCATCAAACTCATCTAACGCTTTCAATATATTGCTTGCAGGTGGGTCGTAATTACGTTTAAGCAAGGGCGCCATCTTGTGAATAATTCCTGAACAAGTCACGTGCATTTCAAATAAACTGCGCATGTTCAACAAATTTTGCCAGAAGCAAATACGGCTACTTTGCACAAACCTTTGTACTTTTATATTTAAGTTTGTGTGTTTTTTTAAATGCCATTTTAAAGTTAAAATGAATGCAAACGCAAAAATAAGTTTATATTGATTTAATTAGTAACCACAACAAATAATTGCTGGTTATTTAAAATATATTATACTTACCTGTTTCGTCTTCTTGATATACAAATAACGGAAGCTTTAATTAATTTCTTTAGGAATTTGTTTTTCGTTAAGTTGTAACATAACAATACTGCATATGGAAGTTCAGCGTTCTGCCCAATGATACATTTATCCTGTGAACACCAGCCCGAGCGTGGCCTAGTGGTTAGCTCATTGGATTGGGGATCTGAAAGTCTCGGGTTCGAGACGTGTTTCTACCACACACGCTTTGCACTTTTATCTGTGGATGCGTTATAAGAGTGACAGATAATTCTGCTATTCGGTTAAGAGTAGGTGATGCAGGTAGTTAGTGCTGTCAACTAGTTGCCTTTGATCTGATCCGCAGCTCCAAATTAGGGATTAGTCCATTGTGCGTAAGGAGTCGTTCAGGAGGAGAAAGGAACAAAAATTCTATGAACAACAAATATATTAGTTATTATTCGCATAGAAAGCCACGTTGGAAGATATATGACGATAAAAGTTATTCAGCAAATGTTACTATTATTTAACCATTTTTAAAATTCTTTGCCATAAAATATTGCCTTCGCCAGCCCAAAACAAGACAAACGACATCACAAGTTACATATATATACTTGTCCTAATCTCTAATGTAGTCGTAAATAACATTACATATAAGTTGTTAAGGAAAGGTCGTTGATATTTAACATTTTACCTGTACTTGCAGCGATCGTTTGTCCACGAATAGTAAACAAACGACAGTACAATGATGTATGAGGTGTTTAATGTCAGAGGTGATGGAAGTAATTTAACCTAAGCAACTCTACTCCCATACAATTGTTTTAACCAATTGTTGATATTTATATTTAACTTTCAAGACACTCTGTGTGGAAGAACTAATTATACTGCTATAAAGTTTACTGTACGTACCGCTTTGCCGTTGTGATTAATATCTCATGTTTGTTGTCTACAAAGACAGGAAGCTAACTTAGTTTAGCTTAGTTTACAGTTAAACGACGTGTTCTGTGGATGTTAATCCAACGTATGGAATTCAAATCATTGTGTTAAACTTAGTAACTTCTGGTTCTAGTTTGTTCGATGGTGTTGTTTTGTCTTTGATTTTTACTAAGCTTCTTTTTTTTTTCTGTTTACTTTGTTGCTATAGTACTTTATATGTAAAACCACGTAGTTATATGTCGTGCAAGGTTTCATTTTAGAATTGTTTTGGGCGTTCAAAGCTAAATTTATGTCATGAGATGAATTGTGAATTTTTGTTTTTGTCGTAATGCTGAAGTCAAAAGACCAGAACAAAATATAGTTTAGTTAAGTTGAACTTGTCTGAAAACTGAGAACAGAATAAAGATATTTTAATTTTATTAGTTAACTATCAGGAGTGGGTTGGGTGTAGCATTACTTTAATGGAGTTATTTTTGCCAGGCCTTTGCTTTGTCTGGTTAAACCAGTATAAGAGACAAGAGCCACTTCATTATTAGGTGCGCAACGCTATCATTATGGCTACATATACACGTCGACGACTAGTTTGTTGCGTTTGATCAAAACGGAGAAAAATTAAGTTAAAGAGTTTTAGTAGAATGTTTGATCGAACCATCGGCAACAACTTCCTAATTTATACTGGTATCACTTACACTGCATAATATTTAACGTGAAATAATAACCAACCAACAAATAGGCTGATGCTTGTGATATACAAGGAGGCCCAAAAGTAATAGGACTCTAATAATGAAGATAAAGAGGGTTGATAAAACACAAAACATTTTATTTACAATGTTTGAACGTTTCGGAATATACTTATTACATCTTCAGCGAAATCTGAAAATAGTGCTACAAAAATATGTAGTAAATAAACTACAGTATCATTAATCAATAAATAAGTAATAAATCAATTAATCAATAAATAACTTAGATATTAATTAAAACGATAAACGAAGGATAAAACAAAACAGATTATAGATATATTGCGGAAAACTTAAGTTTTAAGTGCGTAAACTATAATAATTTTAGATCTAAAGAGTGTCACGAAATTGTTATTATATATTTATTTTAATATCAACGCTTGTTTAGATTAAATTTATATTTTAAAACATGCATAGCTTATACTGTTAAATATGTATTATGAAACTCCTGCCTATTCTCCAAAGTTGTAGAAGATTCTCGAAAGTAAGAATCAACAATATATGTGTGTACGTAAATGCTTG